AAAACTGGGCTTTGAGAGCTAGATATCCAGCACACGCAACCCAAGCGGGCACAAAGGGGCGTTTGAATGGCCTCCCAGCCTGAGTCCTGTGGAACCCACAGTCCTGAGGAGGATAACCCAGCCTCTGCATCTTTGAGGAGTGCAGCTTTCCTGTTGTCAGCTGCCTGGCTGTACACACAGAGCTGCTTGCAGGCACAGGCACTGCATGGCACGTGCTTCCCAGGAGGCCATTTCTCAGTTCCTGTGGGGCAAAGCAGTAGGAGAGGTATAGGTTCTGTGCTGATGGGATCTAACCTACAGACCATCGCTGGTGCCTCAAGATGTCAGGGGTTGTAGCACAGCCACGGTTGCCACAGGTCTGCTGACTGTGTGGGGAGGTCAGTGCCCTCAGTCAGCAGCCAGCGAGTCTTGGCAGGCAACTTACAGCTCTCGGGAGTGGCAGCAGCTGGTGCCTGGAGGAATGTGCTTCCTCCCTGGAGCATCTCTGCAGCCATCTGCAGCCATCCCAGTGCTGTGGAGCCTCTCCACTAGCTGGCACTAACTGATCAGTCAGAGAAGTGTTACATTTTTCTCCTTCTGCAGGGAGACTGAAATAGAAGAACTCAAAACTCAGCTAGGACGCATGAGGGAAGACTGGATTGAAGAAGAGTGTCATCGTGTGGAGGCACAGCTGGCCCTCAAGGAAGCGAAAAAGGAAATTAAACAACTCAAGCAGGTTATTGAAACCATGAAAAACAACTTGGCGGAGAAGGACAAAGGCATTCAGAAATATTTCATAGACATAAACATTCAAAACAAGAAACTGGAATCTTTGCTGCACAGCATGGAGTTGGCTCAGAACGGCTCTCTGCGGGATGAGGATGTGTCTGACGCACCAGGGAAGCCATTGGCACTGTATGCCAAGCTGCCAGACACCCTCATCGCGGAGGAGCAAGCTTTGGAGGTTGATAGTGGAGTGCTTCTAAATGAGGACGTGGCTAATGGGAACGATTCATTTCAAGAGACTTTCACCACTGAGTTGGCTGATCCAGCTTTCTTCATTTCTGCTGTGGATCAAGAGATGCTTGAAAATGTTCCTGATGAAAAACTAAGGTCTTCTAGGAAGGAGGAGAGGAGCGACATCATGATGGTGGAACAGTCCGTCCAGACTGACGTGGTGCCATATAGCCTAAATGTGGAGCGGCTCATTCAGAACATCTTCGGATCTCAAGATGTCTCTCCTCTGAGCCCGCCTTCCTCACTGAAGGAATTGGGTGATTTTTCTTCTGGAAGCTTCAGTGATTCTGCTATAGTAGTGGACTTAACTCCAAGTGATCCAAACTCTGCCATCCTTTTGTCTCCTATGGAGTCTCCATGCAGAAAGGTGGATTACGGAGTTGATGAAAATCATGTCATGAAAGAACTTGATTTTACGGAAATGCGTGATGAAGTGTTCGGGTATGTAAATACTTCCTCTGAGACAGGAATAATGCAGAGGCACTGGAGTGGCAGTCTCCTTGTAGATCTCCTGGCTGTAGCAGCCCCCATTGTACCCACTGTCATGTGGGTATTCAGTACTCAGAGAGGAGGAGTAGATCCCATTTACAATATTGGAGCGTTGCTCCGTGGGTGCTGCCTGGTGGCCCTGCACTCATTGCGTCATACACCCTTCAATATTAGAACCTAAATTCCACTGTCACTGGGCACCAATGGGCTGAGGTGGAGAGAGGGGGTTGAGAGATACAAAAAGATATTGTATATTCTGGCAGAGTCCATTGTTTTGCTCTTGAATACTTGATTTGCACTATAAATTGTTTCAAAAACATGTTCTTGTTTCCAAATGAAGAAAATTGAACCCTGTAGTTCCACAGAATGTTTTTAACTGACATAGCTCAGTACTGCTTCCTACAGAAGTAGTCTTCCTGCTCCCAGTCACCAGGTCCCTCCCTCTGCTGGTGTATAGCACATCCACACAGTAATGAGGATCGGGGACAGCAGAGAGCTAGCACAGCTTCGTGGCTGTTTGCTGAGTTAGCCTTCATCTCCCTTTCCCTGTCCAGTTCACTGAGCAAATGCACAAACTCACAGGCAGCACGGGGTGCATATGGGAACAAAAGGGCAGAGAAAGGTGGGTTATTTCTGTAGGCAACAGTAACAAAATATTTGTGAAACTACAGTGTTAAGTAACATGGAGACTCGTTTCCACTAAGTGTATCACACATGTACTCTAAAAAGCATGCTAGCGCTTGCCATTTGTTGTCTGAAGCATCAATCCAATTTAGAGAAGAAAAAAAACGTATTTTCCAGACAGCTTCCAGCACATCCTTCATGCCTGTCTTGTGTAGTGCTCTTCTAAATCCTGCAACTGCTTGAGCATTCCACCAGTCTTGTGCGTATAAGGACTGTAACCACAGTGTTCAGTTGTTGGGAGTCTTGAAACTGTTAGGACGATAAATATAGGCGTGGATACACTTTGAATATTAATGTCGTTTTAGAGTCTTAATGTATTGGAACCTGATAGTCATTCGAGCCCTGTGAAATACCATCTATAAATGTATTGTGTTTTAACTTATTGTTTATTTAATTGCTTTATTGTAAATTACGTTTATAATCACAAATTCAGTAAAGCATGTTAGAAATGTTAAGAATCTGAGTGCTTTATTGTAGCGAAGCTACTGAAAAATACTCAATTTCAGCTGAGACATCGCACATTCGGAGCAGGAGGGGGCACCATATCAGGGCGTAAGGAACTGTTAGCACCCTGAAGAGAGTTTGATTGAAAAAAAACCTACTTCCAGCTCCAAGAGGAAGCCTCTCAGCCGCGCCCATACTGCACTGACAGAAACAGGTGACCTAATTATTAACTCAATGCAATCTCAACTTGTAACTTCTCATCTCTGCACTTCAAGAAGTGGTATCAGGCTTCCTGGCATTTCACAGAAATCTAGAAGGCTTTGTGTAACATGGCCAAGAGCCACAAAGTCCCATACATACACTGAGATGCACTGTGGCCCTCAAACCATAAACTCTCCATGCCCAAAACTTGAGATCTGCTCCTAAGAGAAGGCAACATCAGCCAGCAGGTGGACATGGTGGAATTGGCCCCACATAAACATCCAGCAATGCCTCTAGCCACTGAAACCTCACTGCCCCCTCACTTTCACCTACAGCCAAGCAAGTTTTCTCTGCAATCCAGACCAGAAGAGGTCTTGTGAGTCCTGATGGTGCCATGCATTGCTTTGCAGCTTTTGGGAGGGTGGCTGTTACCAGTAAGCCACAGAGGAGGAGGAATGATGGGGTAGCACATAGCAAGTACTCAATGGCAACGATCACGTTTTCTTTAATTAGCTAAGTCAAAAGGGCCAAAATTAATATTAATAGGCTTCTTTTTTCCATGAATTTCATACAAACATAGCTTTCCATTATTCCTAAATATCTGCTGTTGTGAATGAAAAAAATACGGAAAATGCTTTGGTCCTATTTCAAAATGTGCGCTGAGGGCAAAGGGAGCAATTCCTTGCCCCAGTGATAGCACCTTTACTAGAGTTCTGTACTTCTTTGTTATGTCTATTATGTTTTAAACAACCTTCACTTTGACTAGTGAAGAAATGGAGCGTCATTTATTGGAGAAAGTCATATTCACATTCAAGAGAAACATTCACTGTGACCACCCAGGTTTCTTTTGTAGCAAGAAGGTAACAGAGCAGCACAAACCTCTCTAATGTTTAAAATTCCGATAGCTGATTTTCAACCACGCTATGGCAGGCTCCATTTAGCAGCAGTGTTTTTTAAATGCGCTGTTTAAAAGACAGAACTAACACTATAATAATATCAAAGTTGCTTCCAACCTTTAAGAACACCTTGTGCAGTTCTGAGAAGGCATTCAGCTGCATTCAGGGAGAGGCTGCACAGCTCCCAACACATAACAGGTAAAAACCTTGCTCTGATCTTTACCCAACATTCAGCTCCCTGCCAAGGCAGAAGGAATCTGAGAAACACTGTTAACAGAACTACTAACTTCCACACTGGCTTTATTAATATGAAGATTTTTTTCCCCAGTTACACTACCTACACAATAAGTATGAAGTCTCTATTTTTACTAACTGTAGGAAGTAAAGCAGTGTGCTAGAAATGCAAAATTACCAACACAAATAAAATGAATCACTCCCCTATCTCAGAATCACAGAATGCCAGGGTTGGAAGGGACCTCAAGGATCATGAATCTCCAACCCCCTGCCACATGCAGGGCCACCAACCTTCTCATTTAATGCTAGACCAGACTGCCCAGTGCCCCATCCAATCTGGCCTTGAACACCTCCAGGGACGGGGCATCCACAACCTCTCTGGGCAGCCTATTCCAGTACCTCACCACTCTCTCTGTAAAGAATTTCCCTCTGATGTCAACCTAAATCTCCCCTCCCTCAACTTAAAACCATTTCCCCTTGTCCTGCAGTTAACTACCCTTTCAAAGAGTTGATTCCCTCCTGTTTGTAGGCTCCCTTTAGGTACCGAAAGGCTGCAATGAGGTCACCCCACAGCCTTCTTTTCTCCAGGCTGAACAAGCCCAGCTCTTTCAGCCTGTCCTCATAGGGGAGGTGCTCCAGTCCCCTGATCATCTTCGTGGCCCTCCTCTGGACCCTCTCCAACAGTTCCCTGTCTTTTTTGTACTGGGGGCTCCACACTTGGACGCAGTACTCCAGATGGGGCTATGCTCACATTGGCTTTTGTAACAGATGAACAGAATGCATCACTGTCATACAGCAATGCCACTGCCTGCAGCCACTGCAGTATTGACAATAGGCATGGCAGCACAGGAAGCTGCAAGTGACAAAAAGATGGGAAATCCAATTAAATGCTCATCTGTAACCCTTCCTCCACCAAAGCACACACTGCCAAGAGTACACTTAATCCACAACAAGGTCTTTTCATCTGTACTGACCAGTATGATCTCTAATGGATAATTCTAAATGTATAAATACTTTTATTAAATAAAAAAAAAGAAGAAAAAGCAGACACTCATATCAGGTAGGAAGCAAAAGGTTCTTTAAAACTGTTTAATTACATATTTCAGGTAAGCACAGACAATACAGTAGATTCCCCACCACAGAATATTTACATTCTTTTCCCTAGGCTCGAGCTGTTCATTAAGAGTGTCTCTCAATCACTTTTGCTCAATCATATTTGCTGCAAAGAAGGGTACTGGAATAGAATTATTGTAGGAAATTTCATTCCATCAAGGCATGATTTTGTATGGTTTTGGGTTTTTTTCCCTTGAAGAACTACCTATTAGTAGTTCGAGATATTTTGGGAGAATTCTGGCTTCCAAGATGACTTGAAGAATGCACTGAAACCAAGCAGCGAGTTGAAGTCCTGGAAATACTTAAATTAATACCAATATGCATGTTGTAGAGGTGGGATCCTTCCACCGATGCCTGGTTACTGTTAGGAGAGTTTTACACCAATTTTGTTCTGTTCCTTTTTCATTAACCTTTGGGCCTCTTTCTCCATTTTCTTTCGTTGTTGTTCTGCTGCTCTTTTTTCCCTTTCTGCTAACTTCTGTTGTCTGTAATTAGAGAAAAAATGAACTGCTGAAGAAGAGGAGTCCAATTTTCAGCATAGTCAATAAATACATTATTATAACTAATAAAGAACAGAGCCTCAGTAAACTGTAGTTAGTCTCAGAAGAGTTAGTATTTCATTACACTCAAGTACTTTTCTCAGGACAGTAATGTTTCTTCAAAATATTTTACAATCTAAAAGCAACTAAATTCTCAAAGATTAAGCGAATTAGTGCAAGTATCAGACTAGAACTAGTCAGGAAGATCTGTCTAATAATAAAATTACCCATTTTTTTCAAATTCAGATCAACATGATTCAACTTAGAACGTGAAGTTCGTGTCCTGCCTTTTTGCCAGCAGAAGCACCTGCAGCCATCCTTTTTATGCACAACTGCTATAGATGTCTTCCTTGTGATCAGATGACATTACTTAATATTCCCTTTCACACGCTCAGGATTTGTGTTGTGCTCTATTGTTCAATACAAATATAAAAAATAGCCTTTAAGGAAGTAGAAAATAATAAGTCTTCAGTTGTGTATCTTTTTATAGCAGTGATAAGAAATAATGCTAAACAACAAATGTTACTAGCTGCCAGATCAGAGAATCCGTCTAAAGAAACAAGTTTCCAATTTCTACTTCCCTTCCAAGAGTGAGGAACAGAGAAAGAAAAAAGAGAAGTTGACAACCTGCCTCCATCCTCCGTAGCTACAACACATTATTGAGTGGCATGGAGTAAACATTTTCCTTAGAGAAAAAAAAAAAATGGCCAAGCTGGTTGCAGTGTGACTTTACAATTTAAAAAAAATGAAGAATGAAAGGGTAAACTTAATAAAGATTTGATAAGAATAAAGAACACTTCATTAAAAGAGAATGAAGAAATCTAATAGGATCAGAATAGAATTGCTCAGGTTGGAAAAGACCTTAAAGATCATTGAGTCCAACCATACTACCCTAACTCTAACAACCTTCTGCTAAATCATGTCCCTGAGCACCACATCCAAATGGTTTTTAAACACATTCAGCTACTCCAACCTTTCAGTAAATAAGTTTTTCCTGATATTCAACCTAAACTTACCCTGGCACAACTTGAGGCCATTTCCCCTCATCTTGTCACCTGTCACCAGTGAGAAGAGACCAACCCTGCACTCACTGTAAGCACCTTTCAGGTACTGGAAGAGAGCAAAAAGGTCTCCTCTCAGCTCCTCTTCCCCAGACTGAACAGTCCCATTACCTTAGATAGATACAACAGTAAGGAGTTTACTTTCAAATCCGTTAGCTGCACACATGCATTCAACTGTGTAAAACAGAAAACCTTAAAGCTGCACTGCACTGAGACAACCTGCTTTGGTAAACTTTCAATTATAGACAAACTGAGCACACAGAACTTCAAGATATTTCAGCAACAAAGACTACATATTATTTTTGTGTTTGACAGTGGTAGGAGGAGAGGGAATGCTATTAAATTAACTGCCAGAAGTTCTCCTATTCTCTAATAAACTGCTCTACCGCCATGGAAGAAGCTTGTAATTTACATCAAGATCTACACCTCCCAGTCAGAAGGGAAGAGTCACATAGATACAGTGAAGTTCCATAGAGCCACATGAAATGCTAAGCAATTCTTCTATGCAATTGCTGTTGCAAAGTAAAGAAAGTCAAGCAGGCCATGTTTTTTTCCCCACCACCATGAACTGCACAACAGAACACCACACAGATTCCTGTATGAGGTTTCCATGCCCTCTACTGGCTGAGTAATTTTACTAGACTTCATTAAGTCCAAGTGAGTGGAGACCTTCTGCTGGAGGTGATATAAAGTCACTGAAAATAAATACATGCAACATACCACACAGTGATTACCTTTCCACTGCTCTGTCACTTGGCCATTATTCACCCACCTCTATTCCAAACTTCCTACTTGTTTTCAACATGAAGTTACCACCTCTCAGGATCATCTCTCATTAGAAAGCCTATGACAAACCACAGCCTTAACTGACTCACTTGGCTCCACAGGAAGGAGTTCAGCAAGTTCTGGTGTCTCTTCATTGGGTTGAACTAGATGGGCTTTAAGGGTTCTTTCCAACTGTAAGGATTCTATGACTCTAAAGTTCAGATGTAATTTTGCAGGTCATGTAAACCAGAAAAACAATGTATTACTTATAGTCCTCTTCTGCTATGCCAACACACCTGGGCTCTTTCTAAATCAAAGAGCATTTAAGTTAGCTGTTGCCACTGGAAAAAAAAATTAATTGGTATTATAAAGTCTAAAGGTACATATAGACATCTACAATTTGCAGAAGTAATCAAGTTCTAACTAACTTCAATTAATTGTAAAGAAAAATGAAAATTCAGCTTTGCGTTCACCATGCTGACTAACCAGTGACTGGAAAGTTTCGGAGCAACCAGCTCAAAACCTTCTGGGTAGTGGGGAACAAACAACAGGAACTTCTCAGGTTACAAAGCCTACTCCTCAGCGCACTGACTTTCTGGAAGCACGTGGCTTACTACACATACTTACTCCAACCGTTACATGTATGTATTAAATCATCATAGTTAATGACAGAGGTACAGTCTTCCCTGCTATTAACACACCACAGCTCATTTTTGCATGGTTGTGCAGCACTCCACTGCTATACAAAAATGATTCCACTCTAAGACACTTCTGCATACAGAGCATCAACAGGTACCCAGATGCTAATGGACACCCTCATGTCCTCCCTCCACACACAGACCCACACTCATTCCATTGTCAGGAAGCATTGTTGGAGTCAGCATTACCACTGTGGAGAATCAGGAACACTGTTCATCAACCAGCAGTCTGAAATCTTCAGATCATTTTGTAGATCAAGACCTAGTCTCTTAGCATTAAGAATAGACTCCAGATTGCTTCCTTACTACGGTCTGTTGAAACACAGAGCCAGGGCTGTCACGTACTAAAGTTATGTGTTAAACTCTGGATGTTAATTACACCACAGATGTCTACTGCAAGACAGACTGTAAATCCAGAAGGTATTTCCTACCAATCTTGCTAAAAATCAGCCAGCATTTTCCTCAATTAAAGAAAAACACTAAGTCAGCATGTTGTGAATAGAACAAAGGTTTTCTTCACACAGCTGGAATGAACTCACACAATCATCAGCTGTAGTGAGGTAGCCATTCACTGCAGGCCAAGAGATAGGCAAAACAGACAGTTCTAAGCATACTCTATTTACCTGAAATATTTGACACGTATACTTCCCTGCTAAAGCAAGTAAAGCTCAAGACTTTTTAGTGGAGCAGAGCAGGAAGTCCAAAAGTTCACAACTTGAGCCGAAGCCTTTCAGTAGTAAAAATGTCAGGCTGAAATCTTTACAACAGCTTCTATCAAGTAAGATGAGAAATTTGAAAAACAGAGTTGGAGGAAAATCCCACTGCTATTCCCACATAAGTAGTCCCTCTCCCTCTGTATTCTAGAGCATGAACATGACTACAGGCAAACAATACGCCTTTGGCCACTTCATGAAAATCAATTACGCAGACAATTTATCACTCCAGAAATATACTGACACATACACATTGTAGATTATTAGTAGTAGGTAAATTCTCTAAGACAAGTCAGTGCTTGGGAAAGCTTAATCACTTGTTTTTAGTCTTAAAAACAGATCTTAATGGAACGTAGCAAGATTTCACTAAAATACAATGCAGCCTCTGCAGACAACAAGTTATTTCGTTTCCCAGTCCAAGAAAGCAGGAATTTTCATTGTCTTTCACTGACTATGTCTGGTGCTCCATAGCCTCAGTGGACTGCATTTTTGACATTAAAGATCTTACTGAGCCTGCTGATATTCCTGACAGGAAAAGGCAGTCCTTGGAAAAAAAACAACCCAAAAAAACCCATCATCACATAACTTTCACTATTATATCGCTATATATTAAAGCTTGAAATAAAACAAATTAACAGAAGTTACTGCCAATTCAAATCATTGTGTGCAATTAGCTTAAATTCAATCTGTATCTTGTTACCATTTGTACTCTTTCAACTTCATAAAAGGGAAAAGCAAACAGAAGAAGAAAACTGATAAGGTATTCACACTAGTTTTGTGAGACACAGAGAACTAGAAAAGTACTATCACAAACAAACCTGCACTTGATTCTTCAACATAAAAAAAGTTTACGTGGTGCTACATGATTTTCAGTTACCTAAGAACTTCTTCTGCCTGCCAGGCAGCATCTTCCTCTTCTTCCCAGGCATTAGTATTTTCTTGCCAAGTATCCAAGTCTCCCAGTTCAGGCTGAAACAAAACAAGAAAAGCTCTAACAACATGGACGAAAAAGTAGAAAAAGCACTTATTTTTAACCTTGATGCTTCAGACTTCCAGAAATGTATGAGATACCTTAGGTTATCACCAATTTGTTATTCCCTGTTCTAAAACTGATTTTTTTGCCTTTATATTGTTAGCATAAATCTTTAGACTCTATTGCTGGTGAACAAAGAAAAGAAGGAAGCACTACATGCATTTTTAAGAAGGAGAAGACAAGCTAAGCAGATGGCATTAAAGACTTCTGAAGTTGCACAGACAAACCGAGATGTATATCCACATTTGTCCATTATCCTCTCAGTGATGTTTTTCCTCAACAAAGTCCTGTCCTAAATTATTTTCATTATGACAGTCGAAGAAAGCATTATGGCCATTCTGGATCTTTCATCAAAAAACGAGATAAAACACTGTTAAAGAAGGCAGAAGAAAGCAAGCATTTCCCTCTAGATGTTGTTTGTCAAGGAGTAAAATTAGAAGACTTTCCAAAGACAAACGCTATAGAAGGAGAAGGGAGAAGAAGGTTAAAAATGGGTACAAGATTATAAAGCTAAGATAACCCAGAGGCTTTTTAGGAAAAAAACTCCTACTCTTCCACTAGGAACTTACTGTGGAAGTCCAAAAAATGTATAGTCCATTGGCTTAGAAGATTTGCTAGTAAATCGGCACTTTACAGCTTCCTACTTTTTAACCATTGGTCTGTTAAGCTTCACAATAGAGAAAGTTAATTAAAATTAGATCAACCACTTCATTAGTTTGAACCAAATACTCAATGTAAAAAGCATTTATTTTATTCCACAACTATTCCTTTTGCTCCCCACAATGCAGAATATTCTTAGACAGATGTTCCTTCTCCTAAGGAACAGTCATTTACCTGTCAAATAACAGATTAATATTCTGAGTGCACTTACAGACTGGTGAATAAAAGGAATATCTTGTGTAGCTGCTAATCTGCTAGAGAATCCTGTGTTTCCTTCTGGAACTCCAAAAGTTAAAGGCTCTCGTTTTTTAATAACTATCTGGAGAACAACAAAAAAAAAAGAAAAAAAAAGAGAGAGGTCAAAGATTCCCTGGAGACCATATAGGTCTGTGCTTATGAAGGCACTGCTTTACAACACTGCACTGTTTCAAATCTGCTCAGGTTCTGGAAGCTGTACAGCTGAATCAGCTTGCAAGCAGAAGAAGCAAAATGCACAAGACACAAGAACTCCCTCCTCCACCCCACTAGCTGTTACTTAAGTCACATGAAAACAGATTGTATTAAAACACAGAAAGGGCACAAAACAAGATCCAATTACCACATCTCATCAGTATTCATGAGCTAGTAATTACATTAGGTACTCCTTGGAGAAATCCCACTTTCATGATTGGTCAAAGTAAGACAGTACACTTGGGGGTAGCACTCTCTGAACTACTAAGTTGTTCTCAGGTTCATCAACAGCACTGCTGTACAGACAACCTAAGCTTCAACAGTCAAAATGCAACTTGCTATCCTATCAACTGGTAAAGCTCTGTACTAATTTGGCAGAAAAACGAGCACTAATGCTCCTCCTGAAAGGTATGTTAACAAGTTTAACGTGGCTGCCAAGATCACGTTTCCCTTATCTGTTTTGACTTCAATACATGCACTTACCCACAGGTATGAGTGTGTGTACGGTAAAAGAAATTGGGATCTGTGTCTTCTGGAAGCAGTGGAGAGGTAAAGTAGGCTAAATGAAACAAGTGGGTAAGTGTCATCTCCAGTTCGTAGAAGCTCAGGAGAATCAAAGTCAGAAGGAACTAGGAGGTCTCTAGTCCAACATCCTGCTCAAAGCATCGCCAGCTCGAATTTATGCAGTTGAGTTATGAAAAATTCCAAAGAAGAAGTCTGTACAACCTCTCCAGGCAGCTTGTTCTGGTGCAAAAAGTTTTTCAATCAACTTAAAGACCTGTACATATCTAACTAGATTTCAATACAGAAACAAAACAAAAAAGTCCATAGTGTGGATGCTATTGTGGAGACACTCTTCAGTCTTGCTTCCCTAACAAAACCTGATCTTTGAAGAGCAAACTATTTTGAAATATCAGCTCCCTAATACTATTTGCCTCAACAACTGGCAAAACAACCGCTGATTTCTGAAACAGCAGAGTTACTATGTCAAACATCAGTATAAGCAGGACACAGAATGCCTCTTTTGAAATAACTGAAATAACAGAAAGGTATGGAAGGTAGCTTAGTGCAGTGGTTCTATTTTCAGAACTAAAAGTGATTTGAAGGTTTTCACCTTTATACTTCCTGTAACACTCACACTATGAAGTTCATAATAAATTTCCAAGAACATTAAAACAAAAGATGTAAACACAAACTAGAATCTCATTTGAGTCAGAATCAGCATTTTAAGTGGATGGATTAGATTACTATCCTCATTTCAACAAGGCGGCACAATTTTGCCTGAAGCACTGTACGTAGGCTGCCAATTTACTTATAGCCTATCTTAAAGCCCTCACTAAGTACAATTGAAAGCTCTATACCTACTTTTTGAGTTTTTCTTATAGTTGGCGTCATGTCTTTAAAATAATCAGGTTCCATTTGTTCCACAGCATTTTGCTGAGCTGCCACATTACCATTGCCACCTTCAATCTTCACACTGGTAGGTGCATCTTCATCCCATGAAGACCAGTCTTCTACTTCTGGCTGGAGAAGTGAACAGTAAAAGTTAATATTACTCGCAAGTAAAAACTTGTCTTATTGTAACTTGCTAAGACAGTAGGACTGGCATAACAGACAATCACTTAAAGTGATTAAGTCACCTACCACTGAAGCAATTACCTGTTTGGGAACAGATGAATAATCCACAGTTGTTGGCAAAGTTATTTGGTCTCCACTTAACTTTCGCCCTCTTCCAGACCTGAAAGAAAAATGTAGGATTCCTCCAAGCTCTGAAAACATGAGCACTAAGTTTAAAAAAAAAAAAAAAAAAAAAAAAAGGGAGTCTGAGAACAGCACTACTGCAGTCATGGCTAAAACATCAAGTGCTTAAACTATCCTAGTATTAACTGCTAGTCAGATACTGCTAAACAAAGGAATTTCATTCCTAAACTACAGTTGTGTTCACACAAATATCGAAGTGCAATATACTGTTCATATTTCTTGAAGAGTTGCTTCTCCTTTGTTTCCATGACTGTTTGAAAAGGGACATATTTAATCAGTTATTTGCATATAGTTGGTTATAATTTTTAGGTTGTCAGTGCTTAAGAAGCAAATACTACAGCTCTAGATTAGTTCAAAGATAACCATTTCCACTGGAAGCTAAGAAATACTTCTACTGATCTGCGTTTAACAAACTGCTTGCTGAGTTGCTTCATTTAAAGCCCCTCTAAAGCACTTTTTCCTTTAGAATCCAGGGATAGCAAAATATTATACAAGCCAACAGCTTCTGTTCAATATATTTACTTCAAGAACATTCTTTCAGCAAAAGTTTTTTAGCAATTGTATTAAATAATTTTAATTGAAAATTAACACTAATGCATTGCTAATAAATGATGTAGATATTTACTTAATGGCAACACTCAGAGATCATAGTAACACCTAAAATATTCTTAGCTGACATTTGCTACATTTTAAAACCTTATAACACACGAGAATGAAATTCAGACCCTGAAAGTGCAAACTCATAACAAGATGGTCATGGAAGAGTGAAGATGTGATTACTGCTACTCCTGCAGGAAAGTTAACATTTGGAGATCATATCCATAGTTTTTACCCTCATAGAACATTCCACCATCATGTCAGAAGAGCTGAATTGCACGTAATCACTCACTGGTATACAGTAGAGCAATAAGATTATCATTTTTCCTACTTTAGGCCCAACAGAATCTTTCATAGGAAAGATCAGATGCTATTATCAAACCTTCACTCGATATAATTAACTCTAGCCCATCTAGAAACTGTTTTTTTAAGCTGACATAGGTTAGATTAAAGATAGGCTGAAACACAAAGGTTTCCTCAAGAGGAACCCAGCATAATTTCATCTACCAAAGTTCCTAAGAAATTTTACAGTAATACAACAGAAACAAAGAGCACACTAACACTATCCAATAGAGAAAGTTCTCAGCTACAAAATACTAATTTTCAGCACAGTCATCATCATTAGCTGTGCTTTTTCATCAACAATGAACAACACCCTGCATGCCACACTTATAAAAATCTGTACCAGTGGAGGTGACCCACTGTCACTGCTGAAATGCATCACCCACTACCTCTCACTGTGCTCACAACTGCTCTTCAGTCCCCATAAGTGTTCAGGATGCGTTAAAGAATATCAATGGGTGCCACTTTTTATGCTGGGGGAATTCAATGTCACACCTTTGCTTTATACGCACTTCCATGTCAAGACACCATTTTATCAGAGTGCCCCTCTGCTGCCATCTGTCACACAGCAACAACATGTAATGGCATACTGGTGGGGAGGTTCAGCCTTTACTGCTGTACTACCAACATCCACCCCTGACGTTGTGGGCCAAGATAATAAAATAAGCATTACTTTCAGAGCAGCCCTCATAACCACTGTAAGTCTTCAGTCTTTGAGACTTTAAGTCTCCCCCATGTTAAGAAATCAAAACAAATATAGAACAGAAAAGCAATGACCTACTATACAACAGCCAAGACAGAGTACAATCTAAATTCTGTGCTATGTATTATGCACACAGATTCAATCCCTGAGCAGGTTCCTAATAAAAATATTACTTTGGCAACCAAATTTCAACACATCGTTTCCAGATGATGCCCTTGGAAAAAATGGCATCTTCATACAAATGGTAATTTACTACTGCAGTGTAAACAACAACGCATTTTTCTGACTGTTTAATTTTTCCTTTGGCCTCTTTGCCTTTATATATGCAAACAAATAAGATCAGTTTTAATCTTGTCCAATAGATGCATGACCAAAGGAAAAATAAAATCCCCCTCAAACACACCAGGAACATCTGATTCTTAGGCTGAGTTGATTCTGTTGTTTCTATAGGAAACACAAGTCTGGAAACATCCTCCTTTAAACCTGTACAACATGCTTTTCTTTAATACTTTTCTAAGCCAACACTTCAGCTGATGCAACTCCCTACTGAAATGATCCAGAAGTCAAGCTAATGACTTCAACTAGTAGTTCATAACACCAGTCTAGCAAAAATTATAACACTGACAAGGATGAAGGAGGGAAGTTCTGTTGTTCTGAAGGAGGTTGTTCTGAAGGTTCTGAAGGAGGTTGTTCTGTTGTATAACATAGGAAAGAGTATGCTACACACAGCAGCACTGAAGGAGGCTACATACCCTCATTCCTTCTAGGAAGGGCACACCATGCTTATAAGAACAGCTGCCTCCCAAGCAACATCACACAGATATTGATTACTGCTCTGAAGGTCAAATGTCTCAACATTTCTTGGTTTTGTTTACCCTTACTACTCAGCAGCATCCACATTTGTCCACAGCATGAAAATAACTTGAGATCTTAAACAGAATGAAATTTCATCTTATTTTTTATTTATACCTATTATTTGCTAGAAACAAAGGTTTAAAGCATTTCATTAAAAAGAAAAATCTAAAAAGTTGCCAAGCACACTGTGTAGGTTTGATGCTGACTAAAAAGATGAAGAATCTCTGCAAGCACTTGCTAAAATTAAGAACTAATTTAAACTATGCAATCCAAGTAGGTACTAGCTCATATCCACCTAATTAAAATGCACATTTCATTCAATCACATTTACTGGTTATCAGGTACACTCATAAGCAGGGATGCACTGTAAGAAAACAGGATTTATCAAACTATGCTCCAGAGCTGACATTAAAATGGAAAATAATCTGCAGTTAATGGACTGAAACAACTTGATCCATTTACATGCATCTGTGAACATTTCAAATTTTTCATTCTTTCAACTAATTGTTATTAAGAGTTTTACTATTTTTCATTCCCAATCACTTCCTCACCTGTTCATTTCAATTATTACAATCATTCAGAAGTTGGAAAAGAAAAAAGTGCTGTCATTACATCTACTAAACAATTACCTGCTTATAAACAATTCATGCGTTCAGTAAAGGTCCATGTACTGTAGATGCTCAGTGTTTTTACTTCCTTAAACTTGAAGAGCCAGTGTTCTTCATTCACTTCAGAGTTCAAATTACAAAGCTAAAGCTAACATCTCTGAAGTCATATGCAGCATTAAAATCTATCTTTCTAAAACTTCAGGAGGGCTGGAAAGAATGAAAGCTTCCTATTGAACCCTATGTACCTATAAATCTGATTATTTTTTTAATGCTTCTAGACACTACTTCTGCATTCATGAGTTTATAACTCAGAAGAACACTAAGTGGTTTTGCTTACTGTTGTAAGGCATAAAGCATTTTCACTAAGAAACAGAGGGAAAAAAAATTCTTTTGAACTTTAAACACTGCCCCCCAAACATCTAAATGAATCTTTAACAGGCAGAAGAACCCAGAAATCTCAACTGTTTCTTCTCAAAGCAGGAAAAGAATCAGTTACATTTCATTATAATGAAAGCCCACTGATGACCACGTGGATGCTGCCATTAACTGATTATAAAACAAAATACCACTCGCTGAATGTTTTTAAAAGGTTGGAGTACAATTTTCATTCATTTGACACAGGACAGCATTAATAGGCAATTTTTAAACCCTGTCACACCTATTCAGAAAACATTAATCATTAGAGCTAATATAACACAAAACACACTGACTCATAACTGCACTACACAGATTCTTAAGTTCCAAAAGAATATGCAGATTAAAGAATGAATTTGACTTGTTTTCTATGTCTGAATTAGTAGCAAAATCAGAATTAGGAAGAGAGGCACGTGCGCTAGGGAGAAGGAAAGAAGAGAAAGAATCTGTAATTAAAACAGAAAAGGTAACCAAATTAAGACATGTTTACCTGCATATTAACTTTTTAATAAAAGAAAGCACAGCTGCCAGGCAAGTACAGATTTTAAAGAGCCGAAACTGTGTTATGGCCATGGTGAGAAACCCTTCCTGCAAAAGAAAAGAAAGTTAGATGTAGCACATTATACATCTTTACATAGTCTTTAAAGCTCATTTCCTTAGTTGCTCATAAACAGGGAGCATTCTGTGAAGTTACATTACTGCCAAATAAGAAAAAAGGTTTCTGGAACAGAGATTCTGTCTCCTATCTGGAGATGTCAATTACATAGATAATACAAGCACATAATGAACACAGCCTTTAAAGAAACTGCAGGCAATGATAGGTAAAGATACAATTGAACATATTTTTGAAGGAGAAGCACTTGCCATCAATGGCAGTGACTGTACTGGTGATGTACTTTAGACACTAACAATGCAAGGAGAAAAGAATTATGACCAGTAAAAAGCTCACACTTCCTTAACCAAGTCTTGCCTATGTAAATAAAAGAGGAATAGGAAATCAATATTGAGTGAAAACCCACAACTGGTGGCTTAAATTTTACAGTTATTTTAATTGGAGATGTGTAATGAGATCAAACACTCTATTTTAGCTACCAGTATCATTGAAAAACTCAGAAGAGACAGTTTCTGTTCATCCCACATGCACTACAGCACAAGTTAATCTCCCAGATACATCAGTGACCCTATGCCAAACCAGATCATGCTAGGAAACTCAGACAAGCAAAAACTGACCTTTTGGCTGGAACCACTTATTCTGACTGCTATTTTTAAGTGTCAGATTGACAATCTAGATAATTTAAACTCATCATACTGCATTTATTTCAACAGATTCCCTCAAGCAGGTGCAGAACAAGTTAGAATAATATGCAAGGATCCTTAAATAATATTCAAGGATTCCCTTTCTCTCTTTTAAAAGTGAACATTTGAGAATAAGAAAGATTACGCTTCACAAATAGTTTTTAATTATATACAGCTACAGTTGTAACAACATTTTCTCTTGCAAATTTAACATACCTCCTGGTGAGTAGAGAAGGCAGCCTGTGACATTTTCCTCAGGCCATGAGTATTCCATGGAAGAACAGCTTGATTTCAAATATGCTATGGCATTTAAATCACTTTTATTATTCCAGGCTTTATGTTAGGAAGAGTCAGGAAGGTGGATCATTAGGTAGGCTGCTCCAATATTGCCCTGAGGATTTTATTAAAAAGTACATAATGGTATTTGTGAGCTACACAGAGCTTGGATTACTTTATTGTTGCTCATTTGCAAGGTATCTTAACTAACACTAACCACTGTAGTAATACGGTACTAGAAATATTACTTCACATACAGCCCAGAAAAAGAATTACTGCTACTGAAAAATTATACAGGGTTGCTACCAAATAAATGGGCCCTTTTACTGTAAAACAGAAGGCTGAAGCATCCGAGTAACCGCTAAATTACAGGCCATACTACCAAGCTGTAGCTCAGGAAAAAGTTGATTGCTGACAAGAACTAGTCATCATAAATCAGTGCATTTTTCCCAGAGCATTTCTACTCATGAATGAACAGACTTCCAATATCACCCACATGTCTGTTCAGCAGGATACCACAGCAATCAGCCGTGCTGAATGAGCAGGAGAGAGACACAGCCATGTGCTGCCTTCATGTCTGAGCTGCATTTCACTTCAACTGTGGCAGCAGCAAGCCTTTCAAGATGGAAAGTACCATTTGCCTTCCTCTTCTCTAAACTTTAATCATAGCTTTCCCAGTTAACTTAAATCCTGCAACACCAGAGGTTGTCAGACTCCCAGTTTTAGCAACAAGAAGGAATAACCAGAAACAGTAATATAATTCAGCTTTAAAAAGTACTTTTATCAATGCATCTAGATTTTATATGGCTAATTAAGTGGTACTATGAATTAATTACAGCTATATGTTAAAAGCTACGTAAAACGAATCTTAAACCAACCACTTGGTTACAGATTAGAACAAGTAGAGCATTACACCCAGGCATCTAAAAGAGCACTTAAAGCATTTGCATTACTGTTCTAAGGACAGCACTATCTAAAATTAAAAGAGCAATCCTTTCATATTCAGACACAACCGAACAAACACAAAGGTACAAGGAACCTTTGTATTTTCTGAGCTTGGTGCAAACTGAATACATCTGATACAATGACACTAGACTCGTTAAGTAAAACAAAAGTGTTCATTCTTTCTGTTGTCAGTCTTCTTCCAGCACTGGAAAGATACAAAGCCACGTACAGCACAGAGAAAGAACGCAGACTGGCAGCACGCCAGCAAGAATCCTGGAACATTTCTTAAGAGGTGGAGGCAGAGGTAAAACACTGGACTAAAATTCAGAAAATCTGATTGTGTCAGGCTGACACAGCTTTGTGCATTTCACACCTCATACCTCAGCTTCCCATTGGTAGGATAGATAGCTTTTCTCCTCCCATTATGGAGATTGCTTCTGATGTATAACATTTATTACACTTACTGTTAACTGAACTTCTAAGATCCAATAAAAACAATGTTAATAATTAAACCACGAATCCTAATTAATATTAGCAGTCTGTGCAACAGTTTTGTAGAAGTTCCACAATTTAGCAGGAGTTTGACTCACATAGCTCATACTGCCTTCTACTGGTAAAAAGTTACAGCAACTGTTCACATGGAAGACGTGTGCTGAAAAGATTTAACCATGCTAGCAAGATGTTAAACACATTAGAGACAAGTCAGAAGCACAGGGCAACTAATCCCTGAAAACATTTTATGGATCAATAAAACTAATACAGTGAAGGGAGAGAAAGCCCGGAAATTTACTCAACTGAAACATTTCTACATCACTTATTGCTTTCAGCACTGGCAGCATTAGAGGGCTGCAACCCAGCCCTCACTGACAGCAGCCAGGAGGCTGCCTGCAGCATGGCACACACATCCCAGCCGTTAGGCAACCAAAGCACAATAAACAAGTTTCTCATCGGCCATCGCTATACAACAAGCACTTCCTCTTTTATACCTACTTACACACACACAAATACTACTTAAACCAGGCACATCCAACCCATGGGCTGTGGGCTGCACGCAGCCCAGCACCACTCACACTGCAGCAGTACCCTGCCCACCCCATTGTGGTAGCAGCTCTTCCCACCAGGGCCCGGCCCTCAGCGCCAGTGGAACATTGGTGTGCCAGGAACACACCTGGGCTGCAACCGGGACACAGGGAGCAGCACTAACTCAGGTGATGGCAAATAAATTTATGGCTTTAGACACACTGGCTAAGCACAGTACTGTGAACAGTAAAAAACATGCAGCTGTGCCTTTTGTTTTGGTAGAGGAGTTTGAGAACAGGTTTCAAGATGGCTAGAATGGAAGTTCTGCCTTCAATTACCATTGCTTTGTGAGTAGATTTCTTTCATATAAGCTCATCTGTGACTCTGGAACGAAGACAGCTTGGAAACAGCAGCATTTACTTGCACTAAATACAGATAATTAACCAAGGGAAAGAGTCTAAACTAAATTAAAAATAACTTCACTGAAACCAAACATTTCCTCTACCAACTGCATAACTTCAAGAGTAACCACAAAAAAGCTTCACTATTCTTAAGCAAAACATGACCATTTCCTCATACAGAAGACTAACATGCCCTTGAATGCTCACAGATGTCAGTACCAAAACAAGGGCATCACTGAACCAGAATGTTTTCACTAGAACAACCAACCAGTAAAAATCAAGTAAGCACTACATGATTTGTGCAGCTTCAGTGGCAAGGATAGTACCTCTCAAAGTCCATGTTGTATAAAATCTTAAACAGTGTCACCACACCAGCCCAAAGATGACCAAGTAGGTTTACAGGGAGATGGAATTTCAAGATTTTAGATAGAGCTTAAAAAAAAAAAAGTTTATTTTCAAGCACAAAGGCCTCCTCTAAACTGTGTAAACTACAAAATGCACAGTGCATTTATAAAAAGGCATTGTCAGGTACTGAAAGCTGCTACCAGCACCTGCATTTCAGAGAGCAACCATGACCCTGTAACCTAATGAAGAGGTTCTACTCCTCTCTGCCAGGCGAAATGCTTTTTTTTTTTTTTTTTAATTGCTTTATACGAAAATATAATATTGGGAACACCAACACAGAAGGGAAAACAATGACTTTACCTTTCAGATAAATTGATTGATTATATGGCAACATGACTCAATCTTGTAGCCATGCTACTATGGCAATAGAGAGAAGGAGAAACCAAAGAAGAAAAACAGGAAATATCTCCTCTATCTGCCTACACGCAGTCAGAGGGCTGCCCCTAAGAAACTGAAGTTTTAACACTGATATTCTATCTTCCAGTGCACGCACACCAAACATGAAATTACGAGGAAGCTATGAGAGATTAATATGCCTATGATTAATAGAAGTGAGACAATCATCCAAGGTGTTCAAATCCAAGAAGATATTTCAAGACTACCAGGAGCTGTAGAGGATGTTAAAGCTAAATTTTGTCTAATTTAAGACAGAAAACAAGAATGTGTTAGCCATTCCTACACTATTCCTAGACAATGTTAACAGAGCAGAGCTTAAACTTCTCTTTTTTCAGACCTTCAATTCCTAGAGCAATATATAGTAACACCACCTCCTTTCAACCCTTCCTCTCCAAGAAACCAAGCATAGTTTCTATCATGTTAATATCAACTCCTCAAGATTTCAGCTCCTGTTTTTTTAAGGCAACATTAACTAAATAGAAAACATACATCTGCTGACTAGGCAGTCAAATTCATTATCTGTACATGCTACTGTCCTCTGAAAAAACAGCATGCAGAAACACAAAGATGGAAGCTGTGCAATCCCATGATACCACACCATAACTGCTCAGACTTGAAGTCTTTGACATAATGCACTACTCCACGTAAACCCCTTCACAGCACTACAGTTCTCAGACCAGAGTTCAAAAGACCCCAGTTCTACTCCAGTTTTCATTGGTCACCCTGGACTTCAGTTACCCACATCTACACTGAAAGCCAAAAATCAATAAATTAACACACTCTTCTTGTTGGTGCCACAATGCCATCTTGTAACACCTGTTGCCTCAGCAAGCACCAACTATTTACAATCAAGATACACTACAGGACAAGATGACTTGAAGAAACCTTCACACAGCTCACTGCTATTTCCAGCGTATCCACAAGTATAAAGCACCAGCCATGTTGTTTCTCATCAGACACCCAACTGAGGCACCACAAACTCACGACCCGAAGTGACCCCCTATCCCACAGATCAAACCAGGGCCGAGCTTTTCCTGGAGCCAGTAAAGAAAACAGACGGGAGTAATTCACTTTTGTGCGTCCTTCAGAGATCTGCAGCCCTTTGAAGCAATACCGCACAACTTTCACACTCATTTTTACACGAGCTGTCAGCCATCAGAAATGAAGGAAAACTTCAGCCTAGGCAACTCCACGCACCGCAGTCGCAACGAAAGAAGACGTAAACCGCACGGATCTGCCAGGACGCTTCCCTTCGTGCCGGCGGGCCGCCAACCTCCCACACCCCTCACCGCCGGTCCCGGCCCGCGGCACACCCCGCGCAGCGCCGCCCGGCTCCAGCAGGCAGGCGCACGGACGGCCGCGGCCCCGCGTTCCCCAGGCACAGCCGGGCAGACCGTCGCTGGACAGGCCCGGAGCCGGGACGTCGGGGCGCTGAAAGGCGTTCTTTAGGAAGGACCGAGAGGGCCGGCCCCGGGGCGGGAAGGCGTCCAGGCCGGGCCCTCCGGCACCGAGGCGGAAGCGGGCACCCGGCGGCGAAGGAAGCTGCCCCCTCTCACCTGCCCCGGCGGGGAGGGCTCTCCGGGAGGCGCGGAGCGCCAGGGGCCGAGGCGGCCACTCCCGCAGCCTCCGGCCGCCCTTCATTCAAAGCTCGGCACGCAGCGCCGCGCCGCCGCCTCCCGCGCCGCCATGTCGGCCTCCTGTCACCCGGGCGACGAGGCCGCCCCTTCCGGCCGCGCCGCTTCCCCTCGCCCCGCCAACCAGCGCCGCCGGGCTCGCTCCGCTGCGGGGGGGCGGGTTGACGTGGCCTCTCGGCAGCGGCCCCGCGGGGAAAAGTGTTGCGCTGCCCTGTGGCGCAGCCTCGCCGGCGGCCCGTCCGCCCCGATCCTTGTGCCGCGGCGGCTGCTCGGCCCCTGGGGAGTTTGAGCTTTTATCGCTTCGGGGAACTGCGATCAACAAATGCGGGATTTCCTTTATTTAGTTCATTTAGCGGTGGAATGAGAGGAGAACACATCAAAATTGTCCTCCCTTCATTCTTGCAATTTTTTAATTCAGTGAACTGCAAAAATGTTCTTTGGGACTGGAAAGATTCGAAGTTAAGAAGTACTGTTACGAATCACTGAAGCAAGGTTTGCATGGCAGTGCAGAAACACCATTCAGTCAAAAAGAAAAAACTAGGGGCTTTGATGTTGAATAGTTAGTTGCCATCTAATCAGATCACAGCCACTATACCACTCTTGTGAAAACTCAGATACTAAGTAACAGGATCTTTAAATGCCAGCAAAGCAAGGAAATTTACCAGGACACTATGAAGCAAAGCACGCTTGTTAAATCAGCTCAGTTCTTCATTCTGCTGAACTTGTTTCCTACTTTCCTGCTTGCTAATACCTGTAAGGTTTCAAAACAGAATCATAGAATCATTAAAGTTGAAAAAGACCTCTAAGATCATCTTCTCCAAGTGTCAACCCATCACTACCATGCCCACTAACCCATGTCCCTCAGTGCCGTGTCTCCTCATTTCTTGAACATCCCCAGAGACAGTGACTCCACCACCTCCCTGGGCAGCCTGTACCTCACCACTCTTTCTGAGACAAAATGTTTCCAAACACTCAATCTGAACCTCCCTTGGTTCAACTTAAGGCCATTCCCTCTCATCCTATCGCTGTTACCTGGGAAGAGAAGCTGACCTCCACCTCACTACAGCCTCTGTTCCGGTCATTATAGAGATTGATAAGGCCTTCCCTGAGCCTCCTCTTCTCCAAAGTAAACAATTCCAGTTCCCTCAGACACTCTTCTCTTAAGACTTGTACTCCAGACCCTTCACCAGCTTTGTTCAGACTCCTCTGCAGGTTTTCCTTTGCATGGAGTAAATCAAGACTAGGCCAAAGAAGTATCACACAGGACTGGGGAGACATGGGATTCAGTGCTTGCAGCGATCTATTTTAAACCACTCTGCAAAATGATGAAGTTATTTTCAGTCACATCCTTCACCAGTAAATGTTAAGTTTTGGTATTCAATGAGGAACAGCTTCAAAGAAGAACTTGACAATTGGTAGGAAGCTGGTGGGCCCAAGTGAGGATGGTCAGGCCCATTACTGCCCTCAGGGGCCTGTCACCCTTGTGCCTGCAGTACCTGCATTCAGTAAAAGATACTCAATACATGCAATACTGTTTTTATACTAAGCACTTTTTCAAAACAATCTATTCAGCAAAGACTTGTGTCTTTCAGAATAGCTTTCTGTATGAAAAAGTAGAAATTGGAAAGCAATCATAACATGCATTTACACATAAAAGCAAAATCACAAGTATAGCATGCTGTGAGAGGTCAGATTAGGAGGACAGACAGCATTACCTCAGTGAATATATTCAGTTTTTGAGCATTACAGTCTACATACTCAATAGGGAATAAGCTACACTGAGAATGAAACATTTTAAAATATGCAGATTAACACCCACACTTAATATCAGACTGCCAGAATGTCTCACCCACACTATCTTCCTGAATGCACAACGGATCCATTGCTCTACTGGGAAAAATTCCGTAAATTGCCATTAATTTTTGTTGACTGGTCCATTAATGAAGAAAAACTATCTTTGTAAAAATATAATTATGCAACTTCAAATTCAAGAAAAATATAAACATAACTTCATCTCTAGAATAAATATTTTCAGAGATTAATACTTCTCTTTTAAAAATGTCATTAACCTTTAAGTTTTTAACTAAGAGAATTTCTTTGGTTCCTTCAGTTTTCCCAAAGAGATCTTGACTGTTATGTATTTCATTACCACAGCAAATGTAGTACTTCTGCAGTAAACATAAAGTTTGAAAAGAAATTTATTGAAATTAATGTTTTTCTTTAATTTTATAGATATTAGGGATATGCCTTCCTGATACATTCATATTTACATTCGGTAGTTTCATTCTGTCTATAAAAGGGATAGTTTCTTTTTCAATATTAATTCTCTTTTATATGATGTATATGCTTAATTTACTTGTGTGCCCTCTCTCACTCTTCTTTCATTTATTAAAGTAATGAATCACTAGCTTCTTTTATCTTGGTGTACCTTTCCTCAGTTACAGACCTGCTGAATTGTGCAGTAGCTCAAGTTTTACATTCTTGAAAGAGATTTTGCCCTTAGCAAGTACAGTTTTTACCATTTCAAACAGAAAATTGAAGATTTTTTACTATCAAATTTGGGAGTAAATTTCTATATTGCTGTTATAAATTCTCATGTTACTCTTTGAAAATTCATTAACTGTCTTGAAACTCTAAATGACAGGAGGCAGTTCCATCATTACATATATTTTCCACTCTTCTGTGCTATTCTTGAGCACATATTTTTCATAAAATCTAAGGAGTTCAAAGAGTTTGTCTAGGTTAATGCAAACATGCATTCTAGTGTGTATGAAAATGTGTCCTTTTTCCAAAGTAGGCAAGAAATCATGAAAGCCTCTTTTCTTTCAGAGGTCTTTCAGGCTGTGTTCTTCATTGCTTGTGCCAGCATACCCTAAATTCTTTCCCTCATGTCCATTAAGGCTGGATAGAAGAAATTACTATTTTGGCAAGATTCTGTGTTGGGAAAACTCAACAAACTTTTAACAAGCATGTGTTATATATAAAATCATAGTCAAAACTATGAAAAGGCAAAATTTTGTTTGGAAACAGTGTCCAAGAGAGGACAAGGAGTTGCAATGGCTGCCCAAATCTTCCTGAGCTCAGAGTGCTCAGAGCAAGCAGAAGTTGTTTTTTTTTTCTTTTTGCTGAACTGGACAGTTTTAGTTGCTCCCCTGAGAATGATCCCAGGTTTTGATTCCTTTTGGTATCTCTCTTCTAGGCACTGATCTTCAAACTGGCCAGCCAACAGGACCTTTCTGCAGGCAGAAGCCCAGTCTTTAAGGAATATGCTCCTCAGGCTGAAAAAGTTGGTTGATATTTATTCAGCACTGTAAAGAATTTAAAGAATAAAGAATGTGCATCTTTATCCTGATGCTTAAAAATTTGCTTGAAAAAAGACCTTGAGCTCTTCTCCCTGTCGATGACATCATCTCTTCCTTTCTTAGGGTGTTTTTTTATTTACTGATGATGGTTCAGCATATCAGTGCTGGAGGTAGATACCAGAACTCAGTTTTCTCTGTCCCTGCCAGGTAAGTGAGCTAATCACTGGGATGCACAGACAGGCAGACTTCCTGTTGCACTCTCAATTAGGTTTTTTTTTCATGGTAGCACAAATGCATGTATGTATTGGAATTCTGCTTGTCCCATGAGACTCAACAGAAAAGACTATGGCCTGTCAATAAGATCATTCTCCCGTGAGGCAGATTTAAAGTGAGAGAATACTTGTGTTTTGTAAGATTGGGAAGGAGATAAACAACCCATCTCTTTCACAAATAAAGAATCTATCTGATATTTAGATCTTGACTGTGTAATATAACTATTAGGCTCTAAGTTATCACAGAGAAAAGTTTAGCCTTTATTCAGCACATCTAAAGGAAGCAGTAGCTGCTGCTACTCTTTTGGCAGGAAGCAAATCCCATCAATAAATGTTAGGGGTAACTGGGATTCACATCTCATGGGGATTTAAGCATTATCTAAATGCTGGCTTCCTCTAGCTACCAGCTGAGTGCCTCTGTACATGCATTTAGCTGCAGTGGGGTAACTCCAGCATGTACAGAGACAGAACTGTGAATAGATATAACTGCAGCATTCATAACTGTATCTACAGTTACAATATTTAAGAGCTTCTGTAGCCATTTGGTTGAAGTTGAGCAGTTTTTAAAAGCAGATGTGAATATTGGCTTTTAAATTCAATTTAAAATGTATTGTCGATGATAATGTTCCATGTTGGCTCTAGTCTTTAATACTGATTTTAATAGAGAAAACAGATGCATAAAATAAACTACAACAGTTCCACGAGTGCAAAATAGAGATAGGTTAATAGGACCTTTATACAACCAATTTATCACTTCACTACTAAAATGAAAAGCTCTCTTTCCATCCTGTATGATTTAGTCATTAAGTAACCTTGCTTGACTTACATACACAGCCTTCTTTATGCGTCTTGTTAAGGTAAAAATTCTATGCAGTATATTCAAGTTCTTTGAAGGCGGATCCTAGGAATAGTGTTGACTTCAAATCCTCTAAATACTTAAGTACCTAGCACATTGCTTTATAAAAATATGTGTGCGGATACACACGTGCATGCCTGCATATATATGTATATTTCACAGATTTGAATTTAGGGAAATGAAAAAGATAGTTCATAGCATGGAAAAATTAGGTACAAAGCTTTGTTAGGGAGACAAGTTTTTAAAGACAAAAGATTTTAATTCTAGTGTTTTGTGGGTTTTTTTTTGGTGGCCATGGATCAGAAGCTGTTCATACTTCAGTATTTGGTATTAGAATTTCTACCTGTTGGTAAGACCATCGAATTATAGGATCACAGAATGACTTGGTTGAAAGAGACCTTAAAGATCATCTAGTTCCAATTGCCTCCCCTGCCGTGGGCAAGCTTGCTTCTCATTAGATC